GCGCCCCCCCTAAGAAAATACCCTGGCGCCGCCCCTGGTAGTAGTACTAGTAGTAGTAGGCCTATAGGCTATACCCTGGGAGACATAGACTCTCTCAACAAAATTAGGCTTGGGCCCGATAAAATATATAATAATATTGTTTAGTGATGCACTATGTTTCACTTTAATTAATGTAATTAGTAAATATCTATAATACCGTATTTAAATTATTGCCGCATCAGCGCATGACTTTACCGTTTACGGTTTAGCCGATGGAGCTATGTAAAATACCATGTTTGACTTTGAACTTAAAAATGAAAATTTGAATCTTCGTGAAGTTGAATGTTCATGGTTATTGGCAATATATACTCTGTTGAACTTCATGTATTACTTACGTCTGCCGTAATACCTAGCCGGGTCGTATGGACCGTGAATTTTAGGGTTGTATTCTTTAGGTAACTCGCCGAACACCATGGCTGCTGGTGGATGACCTCTTGGCTCATACAGACATACATGCCGGAACTATATTATGGTGAACATATCACATAAAAATATAACCAGATATTACGAAACCGTCTATATTAAAATGTTTACTTTATGTAAAATATATTAAAACATATTTATTAGCTTCCATGCGCCTATCTTTTTTAATTCATGGTTGTTTTATAATTTAAAGTGGGACTATTTTACATGATATATATCATGGCGCCTTTTCTTTACCATACCTACAAACTCTAACAAAATATATCGCCGCCAGCTGCTAGAGGACGCCACCGTCCAGTGTCCGTCCCATAGGTCCGTCCAGTGTCGCAGCGCGCGTCTGGATCACAAGTCACAGTCGAGGTTTAGTGATCAATGTAAACACAGAAACTGGTCTATATAACCACAAAAATATATAGAGAAACAAAGTAATATATTTATTTATATGTACATATGTAAAACCATGGGTTGCGCATACCGCTTTGATACGCGTACCACTAATATGTATACTCATTGACTCACAATATTATTATGTTTAGTCTGATATAAAGCAGTGGCATGCACCTATGGGAGATAATATTGTAGACGCGTAATGCGCACTACACACGTAGAAGTTGTAAGGAACTGCAAGAAAACTAGAGAGAAGAAGAGAGAAGAGAAAAACAAGAAGTAACTAGAAACAAATAGTTTGCTCTAGATCAAAATAAGCACAATTACAAGTTTCTCTCAGTGCACTCTACTAGAAGAAGTTTTAGAAAAGTTTAACAATGAAGAACCCCGTATCACACACTTACAATTCTTCTCAACACTTAGCACAAGAATCAAAAAAGGTATTGAACAGAGGCGCGCTCCACTATTTATACGAACTGCTATATTCAACGCCCGCGTCATTTCTTCTACGTCACCAATCCCACAATAGCATCACTCTGGGCCAACCGGCCTTCCCGAATAAGGTAGGGGAAGCGTTTCCATTTCGCCTGGCAATGCGAGTCGATTCCGGTCATGGTGTCAACACGGCCGCACACAAGGTGGCGCCGCCGCAGTCATTATCTCGGAACGGCTGTCGCAAAACTTCTACAAATCCGAAGATTTATCCCCGCAGTTCTCCGGCCGGTCGGTCACTCCCAAGTTCTCGCACGCTCTGAACCCAGGTCTACCGCCTGCATTCATACTGCCGCCCAGGTCTACCGCCTGCATTCATACTGCCGCCCAGGTCTACCGCCTGCATTCATACTGCCGATTCATGCCTTCACATCGACACCGATTCACACATTCGCATCGACACCATTTCCCAGACGTATGAAATTTGCTCGCTTACAATATATTATGATATAATATAATATAATAAAAAATAATGGCCCCCACGGCTCTCCAATTGCAATGGGAATGAAGCATGTTCGTCGCTCACACGACAACTAATTAACTTACCTGCGTCACGTGTCTCGTGTGAAGAAATATATGTTTGTTTGACTCAGAGAATACAATTAGCAAATTTCTTAAATTCGCTCACCGTACATGTAGGGGGCAATTCTATTGCCCAATTCTCATTATTTTGTGTATATGCATGTGCATATCCCTACAGCTTTCACAATGCGTTTATCATATGATGTCCAGTGTTGCCTGATCCAGTGTTATCTGATATGATATCCAGTGTTATCTTGTTATATATCTGATAATTTATTTTAAGCTTATTATATAAATTGTAGCAATATTATTAAATCGATATTATGTTTCCCTATAAGTTTCACGTGTTTATCGATCAAGCGATAAACCGAGCCTGCTGTACGTTTATATACGGAGGTTAGCCTGCTTATAATGTGTTTTAATTAGTAATTATTTCAAACATAATCACAGGTAATACTATATGTCAAATGTTGTGATAACTTTATTATTGGTATAAATATAACAACATACTATTAATGCCTAAAAATGCTATTAAACGGTGATTTAAAATCGTCTTGTTTGGTACACTCGCGTGCCCTCAGCCATTCGAGTAATTTTGGTGAGGCAGTTCATATAATAGTAACGCAGTAGTAGATATAAATATGAACTAACCTCATGTTGAACTCGAGTAGTTTATTTATCACGTTTGATTTTACATTTGATAATAATAATTGTACGTATAGATTATTACATTATTTTATTATTAATTATTTAGATCATTGTATACACATTTTTGTATAACCGAATAAGTAACATAACAAGAACTATGTATAAGAATAAGGACTTAACACATCCAAAATTGGTAAATGCACGTTCAGAATGAATCAACGTCCCAACTGTATTTCAATGAGACTGGAACGGACAGGAAGGCTTAACACGGGTACGTGCCTCGTCTATATGCCGGACGTAAACTTCTTGTTTATCTTTTTCTTATTCTTCTTGTTCATCTTTTTCTTATTCTTCTTGTTCGTCTTCTTCTTTTTCTTCTTTTCTTCTTCGTCATAATTATTTACTGACGTTGCATTGCTCAGAGTCACACGTGGTAGACCATTCACAGTACGAGTAGCCGCATAGTTTCAAACAGTATTTTCCCGGGCGGTAATTTCCCCAGGCAGTATTCGTATCTGAAGTTATTAGCATCGGTTCGCATGTGAAAATAGGAGAGCAGCATTTCACGTTTCCTGAGCACATGCAGCCTCGGCATCCGCACAACCAGGAACACGGCACGAGCCGAAATGGCCGTTAGTTGGGTTGGGTATCAATTTGCAGAAACAATGGTGGCCAATAACTACCTGACTAAAGAGAAGGTAGTTAAAGATCTCTCTCCCTCCATACCTCCCCTAAATAAGAGGTGGTTAAAGATCTCTCTCTCTCTCTCTCTCTCTCTCTCTCTCTCTTTCTCTCTCTCTCTCACTCTTTCTCTGCGCCCCATGTATTTCAGTGGTTATATATAGTCATTACATACGATTAAACTACACATCCCATTAAACGTACACAGGCATGTATGCATGCACTGCTCGCACGCACATATTTATGCGCGCACACACGCACACGCACGCACGCGCGCGCGCACACACACATATATGATATAGCCCGGCGCACCCGTGAGTAATTTTACTCAGGTAAAATGATGCATGCGTCAAAATAGTCATGTGTGCGCCGGATTTTCGTTGAGTTTTCTGACGCATACATCAAGAAACTCAATATCAAACATATGTTTGATAATTTTTGACTCATGCGTCAGAATACTCTATATACGTGTGCGCGCTAGCTGCGTAAATTTACTCAACACTGGTACTCACGGCGCAAGATGACTGCAATCATTTTAAAGATGACTGCGCCCAGTCACGTGATCTACATACCACTTATGCCTTGAGTAATTTTACTCACGTGTGCGGCGGACGCTGAAAATATTTCGCGTGAGTATTTTGACGCATGCATCATTTTACTTGAGTCAGATTACTCACGTGTGCGCCGGGCTTAAACCACACACAAGTACGCACGCATGGGAATGGGAATGGGAATTTTACGTTTCATCAAGGATATACAATCAATATATATTATATCAAGATAATATATGAGGATACCAAGG